ACGCAGTGCCGCAACTACCATTATAGAGGCCCCGGTGCAGGCTAATTTTAGAGGCCCCTATTTACTATAATGCTCACCCAAAGTTTTGTAGGGTCCCCAATTATAAAACTAAAGTTAAACCCTATTTAATACTTACTGAATCTTAATAAGAGCTGAACTATAATTGGCAGGTAGCTTCAACTTAAACGCTTGAATACTTTATTTTTTAATTACCTTTATACTTGTTATATACGTGTATAAATCAGTTTATTACAAAAACAAAAAAAATCTTGAAACATAATATTATGATTTAAATATGTGTATAAGTTATAGCATGTCAAAAAAAAAAAATGTATGTAACAATAATTATAATTCAATTTTGGTTTATTTAAGAAAATTTTGTTTTCTTGCTTTTTTAGTAGCAAATATTTGAATTATTTTGTTTATGTCCAATTCTTTTGTTCTTCCTCGTTCAATATTTAAAATACTTATGTTTGTCAGGCGGTCTTGAGACATTGAATTTCTTAAGTAGTTTTTTATGATTTTTAATTTTGAAAACGATCTTTCTGCATTGGCTACAGTAACTGGCAATGTTATAAATATGATACATGCACTAAAAATATCATTGTACATAGAGGCCATATCATTTTCTAAAATACATTGTAAAAGGTGTTTAATACAATGTAATTTTTTTAATAAATCCTTTAATATAGATTTAAGGGATAGAATTTGCCTTGTTGTATCAGTACTTAAATCATGTTTGTAAAATATTTGAAAGTCATAAGATGCTTTTGTGATATCTTCTTCACTAAATGATAATATATTATGCGGTACCAGAAATTCAAATCTTTTAGTAACCTCAAAAAATCCTTTGAATCTTTCTTGAAGTTGTAAAATTGCTGTATCTATAACTGGTAAAAAAACCATCACACGAAGATTGTCTTCAGAAATATCGAGTCTTCTATCACCGTCAACATCACCAAAAATCTTTTTTGAATATACACGGCGACGAATAGTTTTTTGGATTGGTATATTCCACTTATTACATTGCTCACTTGCAGAAGCAACTAGCTCTTTATAATGATCCCTTAAACTTATAATAGAAGAAGAAGCCTCCTTTAAAAATGTACATGCATCATGAAGATTTGTATTTGGGCTCTGTAATTTTTTAGATACTAAATGGAAGTTTCTTAATATATTTTCTCAGATTGTTAGTAATAAAATAAACTCAAATGATTCAATTTTTTTTTTAGTCCAATAGCGTAGATAGTATCATAATACAATAAATCTATATATAGTTTTGGAAACTTATCACTCCTGTTATTAGATAATACATGGAAATAAATGGAATAGTTTTTTTTCTCAAATAAGGTGGTTATCTGTGTTTGGTCTTCATTTAATTTTTATATAAATATTTATAGCCTTTATTTATACGACACACGTTTGGCTATCGAGTGGTCATATAATCATAATATCGATAACTACAGTAAACAAAATAAAATTTATCAATTTAAAATCCAATGGCCAATATTCAAGTGTCATCATTAAAAATACACAATCGAATACTAAAAATTGTTTAAACCTTGTTTTAAGAAATGAATGTTTAGACTTGAATTGTTATGTCTTCATAAATATGAGGCCCCTTAAACATAACCCGGAGGCTTGTCTGGCGGTGCGATGCACCGCCTGCACCGGCGGTAGTTGCGGCACTGGTTACACGATTTATTGTTAAATTTAAAATTGTCAAAAATGGCGGATAGTTTTTAGACTTTTCTATAGTGTGAGATTTTGGGTAGTACTAGTATATTTTTTATATACATATATTTAAAATAAAACATTTTAATTATGAATACTTAAAATATATTAAAAATATATAATGTAATGTTAAAAATAATAATAAATCAACTTTTATGGACTATAGTTAAATAAATATCTATTTAATTGTTTAACCATTTTTTTCAGTATTAAATAGAAAGGGGAGATTTCAAACAAAAATTTAGGTTTGAACTTTGATACCACCAATTCCACTGAAAAATATAAGAGTACCATTAGCAGAGTATTTAAATACCAACTAATTTGTAAAGTTTTTAGTAATCTTTTTGTTTATTGTCAAACAAAATCATATTATGAAAATGTATATTTGATTCAGATATTCCAAAAGCATATTAAGGAATACACTATGTACAATATTAAATACAATATTGTCATTAATCAATACATTATTTAATTAATTTGTATAGCTACTGTAAATTTACTAAATATAATACGGCATGTAATAAAATATTTGTTTGTATACTCAAATTTTCAATTACACTTTGATGAATACAAAATAGTAAAATCTAAAATGATAATAAATCACTTTTAAATAAACGCTTCGATGCTTGTGGCAACAAACACACCACATTCAGTGACACACAAGTCTTAGGCGAACTGTGTAGGTAAACTCTATCAACGCACGTTAAATTGCATCATTTAGGAGTTAAGTGCTCGTTCTTAATTATATACCTAATAAATATAATATATGGATAATATTATTCGTCCTATAAATAACATTAAAAATACAGAATGCTTTGATTTTTCTCATTATGGAATCCGTAAAATTCATAATCAATGAAATGCCCCTAACATGTTGTCATTAAAACTTATTACAGTTCAATGTACACAAAAACCAATATGTGTAGTAATTCTCAATTATAAGTATGAGGACTGGTCGTGTATGTAAAGTTGATGGTTGGCCGACCTCATAGTTAAGACGAAGGCGAAGGAAAAGAAGGTAAAGTATTTCTCAAAAGAGACGAAACAATCAAGGCATTTTTTTAATATTTTAGTTCTATATTTATAAGTTGTATTTTAATACAATTGGGTGCAGGGTTGAAATTATAACAAACCGTTAATATTTATGGACCAAATGGATTGTTTATGGGGAGATCATAGGATGAGTCGGCATCCTCTTCGATGTCACCATCCTCTTCGACAGACTCTACGACAATCGTCTTAAACTGCTCATAACTTATAACGTCTGAAAAATCGCAAAAAAGTACATTTAATTTAAAATGTTTGTAACGCGACAAAATCTTTTTCGGTGTGCCAAATAAATTCGTGCCCGGGTTTTGTATTGTGTAAGCTCGTGCGCGCTTTAATAACCGGTACGTGATTGCCGCCCAGCCTTATAGTCGGATAACACTGCACTGTCATCCCAAACACCGCCGCCGCAAAGTGGTCCGAGAGTGAATTCTAGGCGCTCAAAAGTCCTATTAATAAAAATGCAAAAAATATCAAAACAATTATGAATTATTAATTTTAATATGTTTCTTAGACACAACATAAAATTTTGTGTACCTGGACGTTTTTTATTACTATTTAAAGTTCAGTTTTTATAGTTTAGCGGTTAGTTTGATTTCAAAAAATAATATTTCGTTTACAATTTATTTACCCTTTGATATTTAAAACAAAAATGTTTTATTTAATTTTTTTTTTTAACTAGTAGATAACCTAAGGAAAAAAATATTTTTTTAAACTACTTATGATAATTTTGAATGAAAAATATCAGATGTTTTACATGTTTTTTTTTTTTTAAGAGAGTAGTACTAAAATTTGCCAATTTTTACCCACATAGTAATACTTAGGTGTTGTAGAACAAGTATTCAGGTTTATAAAAATATTAATTTTTATTGTGGCAGACAAAAATTAATTAGTACACAAGGCAA